CACCCCCAGGCTCAGCACCCCCAGAAGCAGCACCCCGCAGGACCACCCTCAGCAGGACCTGAGTCACCAGTGACCTCAACCGGTGCAGTCAAGGGAGGAGGGTCTACATGAGACACACCTGAAGGAGCAGGACCGGGAGCGGGGAGGGGGTCTACCTGGGGAGCACCTTGAGCAAGGAAGAGCGGCGGGGGGGGGAGCGGGGCAGTGCGGTAGGGGAAGAGACGGTAAAAGGGAACCGACTCGTCGAACGTGACGTCCTGAGAGGGGAAGACACGGCGCGAGGTGGGGTGGTAAAACTGCCAACCAGGCGCGTCAGGGACAAAGCCAAGCAAGACACAGGGAACAGCGCGAGCGGAGAGCTTGTCCGCGGTGGTATCGCGGACAAAGGCACGAGCACCCGAGACCCGGAAACAGGACGCATCGCTAACCTTCCCCGTCCACAGCAGTGTGGGTGAGGTCTCCGGCAAGGAGACACGGGGCCAGAGGTTGAGCTGATGCGCGGCGTACCGGACCGCAAACGACCACAGAAAATGGGGGGCAGCCGCATGGATCATGGAGGTACGAGCGACCTCCATGACTAAGCCAATGCGGCGCTCAGCAACCCCATTCTGCTGTGGAGAGGCCGGAAGCGTGAACGTCTGGCGGATGCCGTGCTCCGCACAGAAGGCTGCCAAGAGGTCTGAGGAGAACTCACCATTTCTGTCAGAGTGCAGACGCAGGACAGGAAAGTCCGACTGGAACTGCTCGCGGAGCTGGAGACGAACAGCGCGGATCCAGGGGATCAAAACATCAGAGACCTCCCCCTTGCGCTGCAAGGGGAAGACCGTGGTGTAACGCGTGTAGTCGTCGACGACCAGCAGAAAGTACCGCTCGTGGCCCTGTCCACGGACGCGGGCTGGGCCCCACACGTCCAGGTGGAGAGTCTACAGGGGAGCCTCTGTGGGAGGGAACGAGAAGGAGTGAGGAGCGGCGCGCTGCCGCCACTCGACACAGTGAAGACAGGGAGGAGCAGGCAAGGGTGGGAGGGGAGGGAGAACCCTGGGAAGACCAGAGACAAGGATACGGCGGTGCATGCTACGAAGGCGCTGCACCGAGGGGTGACCAAGGCGGTGGTGCCAAAGGAGGGTCTGGTGCGACAAAGCACGACACGAGCAGGGGGCCGCTAGCTGACCTGACGCAGACGTAGACGCAGCGACCTGAGGGGACACAGAAGTCAGTGTGTACAGACTCGAGCCAGGCTCACGGGTAAACGTGGCTTGGTGCCGGCCCGTCCGAGAGCACGTACAGTGGGTCACGTGCTTACCTCCAGGAGTGAACTAGTCAACCCACTGGTCTTGGAGGTCAGCACCACTCACCAAGTTTGTAGAGAACAAGGGTAGGTGAAGACCTGACAGGGAGCCAGACAGGACTGCCGGACACGGCAGGACCGTGGAGGAGTGCGCGAGGACAAGACCCCCAGAGGGGTCTGCCAGGGAGACTGCAACCGGACGGCTGAGCGGCGTGAGGGTGGTGCTGTCGCGAAAGAAGGAGCGGGAAGCACCTGAGTCAAGTGTGAAGGTGTACAAGGCCTCAGCAGGCGCAGTACCAGAGAGAGCAGACTCACTAGCACCTGGAGCAGCAGCCTCACCAGTACCTAGAGCAGGAGACGCACTAGCACCTAGAGCAGCAGCCTCACCAGCACCTAGAGAAGCAGGCTCTATACCTGGGTCAGGCGGTACGCACAGGTAACAGGCACGGTCAGCACTAGTAGGCAATGCATACATGGCAGTGAGAAAAGCATCATAGTCAAGAGAAAAGATATCTACCCTCTATCCAAGCACCTACAGCCAGGTGGGGAGCTCAGCCTCGTCACCAAACTCGGTACGCCAGGCGTCACTCAGACGGGCGAAGCAGCGGGACTGTGTGTGACCAAGTGTCCCGCAAGCCTGACCAATCCGATCACCTGTGCGAATGACGTACGGGCAGCGAACGGTACTCAAAGACCTTCTACTCTGAGCGTACCACTCACAAAGCTGCTGGGGCGTAAGTGTCTCGGGCGGACTCCGCTGTAGCTGCAGCTAGCCACTGCCAGACGCTCTCGAGTGACCAGCTCCAGGGGGACAGCCACGACGGCTACCGCTACAACCCCAAGTAGCGTACCTCTCACGAAGCTGCTGGGGCGTGAGAGACTCGCGCGGACGTCGCTGGGGCTGCATCTGGCCACCGCCAGTAGCAGCAGTAGCAGTAGTAGCAGCAGTAGCAGCAGTAACAGCAATAGTAGTAGTAACAGCAATAGCAGCAGTAGCAGCACGGCCACCCCTACAACCCCAACTAGCGTACCACTCACGAAGCTGCTGGGGCGTGAGGGACTCACGCGGACGTCGGTGGAGCTGCATCTAACCACCGCCAGTAGCAGCAGTAGCAGTAGTAGTAGCAGTAGTAGCAGCAGCAGCGCAGGCAGGGCAGGCGCGGCAGGCAGGCAGGCGGGCAGGGAGGCAGGCAGACACGCAGACAAAGGGCGCGGCAGCGCACGAACAAGCCAGGTGCTCACCAGTGGCGGGCAGGGCCGGCGCTCGGCGGGGCCGCAACAGCGGCTGCAGAGTAGGGCCGCGGCAGCTGCAGGGCGGGGTCGCGCCAGCGGCAGGTTGGGGCCGCGTCAGCTGCAGGGCTGGCGGGGCCGCGTCGGCGGCAGGGCGCGGCCGCGGCAGCTGCAGGGCGGGGTGGCGCCAGCAGCAGGTTGGGGCCGCGTCAGCTGTAGGGCTGGCGGGGCCGCGTCGGCGTCCGGGCGGGGGCGCGTCGGCGGCAGGGCGCGGCCGCGTCAGAGGCAGAGCGGGGCCGCGTCGGCGGCAGGGCGCAGCCGCGTCAGCAGTAGGGCGCGGCCGCGTCAGAGGCAGGGCGCGGCCACGTCAGAGGCAGGGCGGAGCCGCGTCGGCAGCAGGGCGCGGCCACGTCACAGGCAGGGCGGGGCCGCGTCGGTGGCAGGGCGCGGCCGCGTCAGCAGCAGGGCGCGGCCGCGTCGGCAGCAGGGCGCGGCCGCGTCACAGGCAGGGCGGGGCCGCGTCGGTGGCAGGGCGCGGCCGCGTCAGAGGCAGGGCGGGGCCGCGTCAGCGGCAGGGCAGGCCGCGACCACGGCCTGACGGGGCCACGACAGCGAACTGGCGGGGCCGCGTCGGCGGCAGGGCAGGGCCGCGATCGCGACAGGGTGGGGCCGCGTTAGCGGCAGGGCGGGGCCGCGACCACGGCAGGGCGGGGCCGCGTCAGTGGCAGGGCGGGGCCGCGTCAGTGGCAGGGCGGGGCCGCGTCAGTGGCAGGGCGGGGCCGCGTCAGCGACCTGGCGGGGCGGCGCTCTGGCCTGACGGGCCTGCAGGGGTGGCTCGCGGGCCTGACGGGCCTGCAGGGGCGGCTCGTGGGCCTGACGGGCCTGCAGGGGCGGCTCGCGGGCCTGACGGGCCTGCAGAGGCGGCTCGTGGGCCTGACGGGCCTGCAGGGGCGGCTCGTGGGCCTTACTAGCCTGCAGGGGCGGCGCGCTGGCCTAGGGCAGCAGGAGGCAGCGCGAGGGCTGCAGGACGGCGGCGCAGCACGTCACAAGGCAAGGCAGGCAGGCGCAGGACAACACGTGGGGTAGCACGGTAACCGCAACGGTAGGTGGGCCTGAAAAAAAGACGGTCCTATGGACCTAGTGCTCTGAAACCGTGTTAGAATCTAGCAACAGGAATGGATACACTATGGAAGAGTTGGGTACAAGTATGAAACCCTAAACGGGGCTGTACCCCATATTGGCTACCCCACTACAGCCTACACACATATAAGATGCATATACTTTGACAGGTAATGTCGGTTACGGACTCTGTCAGAAGAAGGAAATTTGAATCTTGACAGAAGTGACTAATACAATGCGATACAAGGGTTTATATAGGAATACAATGGAATACGAAAGGTCCTAGCTAGCTATGTACTCTGAGGGGGTACATTCCCCTTAGGGCTAATCTAGATGCAGGATTGCAACCGTGCGATTCGGTAACCGTATGCGGTCCGGTAACCGTTTGAACATTTCCCGCGCTTTGTACTTCAAATTCTTCATGCTTGTAACTGTCTTGATAACTGTCTCGTCGCTTGGTCTTTCGTCCTCGCTGTAGTCATCTTCGCGTTAGGATTTGTTAATCATGAAGGTTTATTCAACGATTCTATATCGTAATAGATAACATGTAACTACATTGGATTATGCATTCGTAAACCGATGCAAAATGATAGTAGAAAATACAGGATCCAAAAGGAGACTTATACCGGTAGTAGTCAATCCATCGATGCGTTGCATGATTTTTTTTTTTCAACGGGGTGCATGGATAGAAGGTTCCTTTCCAGCACAAGAGATTCTGATTCCATCCTGATCCTGTTTTTTTTTTATGTAGTTATACTAAAAAGAAAATAGAGGTACATCCGCAGTCGTAACTGTTCCATCCTGATCCTACTACACTGTGAGGATTTACATGTTCTGTATTGTCCATGAACTATCCACAACAGCTGAGGAACTTTGCCGCGTACAAGTCTGCTTCCACCAGCATTGTTCACCAACCATCACCCAACCCCAGGGCCATGGCATTACAGTACCATCACATTCCAATTACTGTACCGAGGGCTTCGGGAACGTCGGTCAGGCAGTTGAGCGAAACAAGACGAGCTACGACGAGGCTGTAACCTTGATACTTCGCTAATAGCATCCCATTGGTGTGCTTGTTCCAGGGTTTTCTCTCCGCCCCACAATTGTTGTTCTGGTGGTTTCGACCTTGCCGAATGTGTGTTTGTTGGGACAAACGTCATGGCACCCACCCACGTTCTCTAGTTGGCAAACCGTTCCCTGTTCCACCATGATGGAGTTCTGAGCCATGTACTACATCTTCTCATAGCCATCCATGCACATGATCACGCCGCGCGAAGCAGCGTTGCTCTAAGTACCGCCAGATGCGAAAATGTCGGGCCTCTCGTCGGACTTATTGCTGGCAATTCCAACCAGCACGGCGCAGATGGCCATGCTATCGTCGCCCAGCCGCTCGCCGCGGTCGGCGGTGGTTAGCACCGCTGAAGTGAGTCCGCGAGGTAGGAGGTTCCGAGCGGCCATCGACATCATTATTGCGCGAACCGTCGAGTCCTTCTTCGACCTCCCGCCTTCCACCTCGCTCGCGTCGCCGCACAAGGTCAGTCTTCTAACATCAACGGCCTATCAGCCAACACTTGGCGTCGGTTTTGTTAAATCCTTGCGGCTAACGCTCGTCTACCATTCACGGTTTTATTTAATTCTGGAGCCGAATTTCGCAACGTCTAAAAAGATTCCGGTGTTTTTCTCTTGTTTTTCTCGCCCCTGCTCCTCCATTCCCTTTCTCTCCGTGCCTTCTACTCCATCCATTCTCGCCTTAGCCTCGCTCGCGTTCCGGTTCACCGCAACGCTCCCCTTCGCAAAAGTACCAGCAGGAAAAGCAGCAACAACAACAACAGTCGCAGCAGCAACAGCAGCAGCAGCAGCAGCTGGGGCAGCGCAGGCAGCAAGATACTTTAAAATCCTCTCAAGGGCAGCGTGCGGGTGACCGAGCCGCACAAGCGAGTCAGAGGGGCTTGACTGCGGGAGCTAGGGGGGGAGATGCGCCAGGTGCGGTGGGGAATGGCGGTGGTAGTGGGCGCATGTCGCCGTCCGCTGGAGCATTAGGGCGAGGGCCTGGCAGTGCGGAGGATGGCGAGGCGGACACGCCGAAATTCGCTCTCAAGTCACCAGGTCAGTGCCGCAGCTGCCAATTCACACGATGGCTGTAGTGTCAATGAATAACTAGTCAAGTCAATAGTTCTTCGCAAGCGAAACATACCCCAGACCAGATTCGCCTCCTTTTCCGTGCCGTGCCATCTCCGCGCGTATCTGTTTCCCTCGTTTTGTTGTCCTCAGGCTCATATTCCCCTCGAGGCCGACCGCCCTCTCTGCCTTTTGATGTCGACTTCCCTGCTCTGCTCGGATCCCGCCCACTGCAAGCCTCACCCAAACGCGCCTCTCCAGCGTCCTCCTCCTCCCCCACCTCCTCCTCCATCTCATCCGCCTTCACATTCTCCCCTGCGTCCGCCGCGCCAGCCACTCTTCTTACCGCTCCGCTCTCATCCTTCCCCTCCGCCTCTGCCTCATCCGCGTCGTCAGCGCCCTCGGAATCCGCAGCTGCGCCCGCCGCGCCCGCCGCGCCCGCCATGGCGCTCCACCAGCCGCTCTGCTTCCCGGGTGCGCAGCCCGTGCATCCGCCCGAGGACGTGCCGTCCCTCGCCGCCGCGTTCGCCGCAGCCAAGTCAGCACAGGCTGCGGCCTGCAAGTCCCCCGTCGCCTCGCCTCTCTCCTCCCCCAGTCCGTCCCCCTGCCCCACGCCATCTCGTCGCCGCCTGCCGCCGTTCCCGGAGCCGCCAATGGCGGCATGTCTATTTGACGCCATGGACAAGCTTCTCTCCGTCTCCACAGGGGTGGCGGAGCTTGCCGCACCCCCGCCGCCATCGCTCGCCTCTCTAGCCGCAGTTTCAGATTCTACTGCTTCTGGCGCTCTGGGCCCTCTGTGGGCGTCAGCCGCGGGAGGAGGTGGGGGGAAGGGGCTGGCAGGAGGGGGCATGGGGGGACTGGAAGGGCTCATGGGCGGTCTCCACCTGCTTGCGGCAACCTCTGGTGGTGCCGCTGCCTCTGCTTCTGGCGCTGGGGGAGGCACTGGCGCTGGCAGTGGGGGAAGCGGTGGCGGAAGCAGAGGGGCGGGCAGTGGCGGGGCGCAGGCGCGCACGCTGCTAGGGTTGGTGGACCCTCGAGAGGCGGCTACTGCAGTGGCGCCGTCTAAGAGCCGCAGGCAGATGGAGGCGCTGAGGAAGGCGCGGCAGGCGGGGCGCGGGGGACAGCTGGGGCTGGTGACTGGCGCTGCTGAGAGCAGCGGGGGAGGCCAATTGGGACTCGTTGCAGGCTCTTCCGGCGGTGCTGGCGGCGGCGCAGGGGGAAAGGGCGGGGGAGGCGGAGGGGGGCATTTGGGTCTTGTGACGAGCTCCGCCAAGGGGGCTGCAGGGGGTCAGCTAGGGCTCGTCTCACGTTCTCTCGATAGCAGGGGTGGTACCAGCAAGGGCGTTGCAGGTGCGGGAAGAGGAGGGCCTAGGCAAGAAAAGGCAGGGGCGATGGGTCACAGTTTGGGGCTGGAAGTGAGCGGGCAGCAGGGAAGGGATGGCAGCAGGGGGGGCGAAGCAGAGAACGTGCTAGATGAGAAAGCACGGGCTGAGAGGGAGAGGGAGGAGAGGGAGCGGCGGGTGGTGGAGGAGCATGGGAGGGCGGTGGCGGCGGTGGAGAGCATGTCTCAGGCGGACCGAGTGACGTTCGATGGGCCGCTCGTGGACGGCCTCTCCGCGCCCCTGCAGCTCCCCAGCTTCCACGGCAAAGCCCTTCCCTGGCGCCGCACCAAGGCGCCCCCGCCCTTTGCTGCCGGCGCCCATGTTGTGAATGCCATTCTGCAGGCGGAGCGGGAGGGAGCGGATGCTGCAGGGCCTGCTCAAACCAGTGAAGCTACAGCAGCAGCAGAAGTAACAGCGGAAGCAGGGACTGAAGCAAGAGCAGCAGCAGAGGCTAGAGGGCAGGGCGGAAGGGCCAGCATGAATGAGCCACCAGTTGCGGCAGCAAAGGAGCAAGACTCGAGTGCTGTTGGAGAGGCACAGCTTCCCACCATGAGCCTTGCTGCTGCCTTTGGAGGGCTGGCCTTGGCATCTCAAGGGGAGGACTTGGGCCAAGGGAGTTTTGGCATTGGCTCTGGCTGGGGGGCAAGTAGTGGCACTGGCGATGAGAGCGGTGGTGGCATGGAAGGTGGTGATGGTGGGTTCATGGGTGCGTTCGACTCTCTATTTAATGCGTCGGCTGGTGCTGGCGGCGCAATGGGCTTGCACATGCAACCACTGCAAGCCCATCAAGCAGAAAGTGTGGGGGATGGGCTGGGAGAGGCAGGCGAGGCAGCGACCAGGAACTTGAGGTCTGGGCGTGCGGTGAAAGACGAGAGCAGGGAGAGAGAGAGGGAGCGGGAGCGGGAGCGGGAGAGGGAGAGGGAGGAGAGGGAGAGGGAGGAGAGGGAGCGGCGGGTGGTGGAGGAGCATGGGAGGGCGGTGGCGGCGGTGGAGAGCATGTCTCAGGCGGACCGAGTGACGTTCGATGGGCCGCTCGTGGACGGCCTCTCCGCGCCCCTGCAGCTCCCCAGCTTCCACGGCAAAGCCCTTCCCTGGCGCCGCACCAAGGCGCCCCCGCCCTTTGCTGCCGGCGCCCATGTCGTGAACGCGATTTTGCAGGCGGAACGGGAGGGGCTAAAGGCGGGGGGAGAGGGTAGTTCAGGTGCAGAGGGAGGTGTAGCAGGTGCGGGCTTGGTTGGAGAGGGACTAGCTGGTGAAATAGGTGCCGGCGGTGGTGGCAGAGGGAGGGAAATCGATGCTAGAAAGGAAGGGCTGTGTGTGGGGCTGGACGGCGAGAGAAGGGCAGACACTGTGGCAGATGCAGCTGTTGGTGCTGCGGGGATGGGAATGGGCGGCGAGGGACTTTCTGGTGGGCTGTCGCTAGCTGCAGCGTGGAGTGCAGGAGCGGTGGGGGCAGGGGACATGGAGCAGCAGGAGACGGTACAGCTGGAGGAGGGCGGATCTGGTGGTGGGCTTGGCCTCATGAGTGCCTTTGATTCGCTTTTTTCTGCTTCCGCTGGTGCTGCTGCCCTGCCACATTCGCAGCAATTTGATGGCGGAATCGCTTTCGGTTCCCTGCCTTCCTTGCAGCTGCAACCCCAGTTGCAGCAGTCGCTGCAGCAGCAGCCACTTTCCAAGCAGGTGGCTCAGGCGCAGGGAGGGGGCAGGAGAGAGGAGGAGGAAGACGAAGATAGTGAGAGTGAGCGGGAGGAGAGGGAGAGGGAGGAGAGGGAGCGGCGGGTGGTGGAGGAGCATGGGAGGGCGGTGGCGGCGGTGGAGAGCATGTCTCAGGCGGACCGAGTGACGTTTGATGGGCCGCTCGTGGACGGCCTCTCCGCGCCCCTGCAGCTCCCCAGCTTCCACGGCAAAGCCCTTCCCTGGCGCCGCACCAAGGCGCCCCCGCCCTTTGCTGCCGGCGCCCACGTCGTGAATGCGATTTTGCAGGCGGAGCGCGACGGGGCTGACGCCTCAGGGCACAAGGCGGGGGAGAGTGGCAGCAGCGAGCGGAACAAGAGCCCAACCGAAGCTTCCGCATCAGCGCGCAATGCCCAGCCCCCTGCAGGCGCCAAGACAGCTGAGACATCCCATGCAGACACAGCAGCTTCGGCATCACCTCCTCAGAGCCTAGCAGACGCGTTTGGGGGGCTGGCAGGGCTGTCCTCAGGAGCAGGGGTGGACGAGGATGGCATGAGCGGCGGTTGGGGGGGGTCCGGTGGGGGAGGGCTTGGGCTCATGGGGTCGTTTGACTCGCTGCTCTCTGCGTCCTCTGGCAGCCCTGCTGCAGGTGCCGGGCAGCCCCGTGCAGCAGCAGCGGGCCAGTTGCAGCCTCTCTCGCTCTCTCCTCTGTCTTTGCAAGCGTTGCCCGCCGTACCCCGCACCACACCCATGCACCAGTCCACCACTCCGTCGCTCCCCCGCGCGCCCATCCTCTCGCCCTTCTCGGACAAGCCAGCAGCAGCGGATTCTCTGGAAGCGCTTTTCCAGGTGTCGAAGATGCACGGGGGAATCTCCCCCTCCATTGACAACCGTCTCCTGCCCGCCTTCCCCTCGCCGCGCATCCACACCCCATCGCACCTCTCGGGAGGAGTCCCCGCACCTGCTGCAGGGGACCCTAGCAGCAGCTCAGACGGCAGTGCGAGGCTGGGAGCAGCTGGCGCCGCTCCTCCAGTCATCCTTGCACCCTTCTCCAATGTGCCGGCAGCAGGGGATTCTCTGGAGGCGCTTTTCCAGGTGTCCAAGCTGCATGGGGGAATCTCCCCCTCCATTGACAACCGCAAGCTCGCGTCCTTCCCCTCGCCCCCCCTCCACGTGCCTCCGCACTCAACTGCCACTCCCAACAGGGTGCCGCCAGGGGGTGCAGCAGGCAGCCTGGGCCTCCAAGCGACGGCTCGCATGGCGTTTCCGCGCTCCACGTCTGCTCCCCCCGCGCATGCCGCCATTGACGCTGCAGCTGATGCTGTGCTGCTGCAGCTGGACCTGCCGCTGCGCCGAACAGGCTCTGCTGAGCTGCAACCGCTCTCCCCCACCTCCGCTCACCTGGATGTCAAGGCGCCTTCCGCTCTCGCCTCATCTGATTCCAGTTTTCCCGCTTTTGCTGCTCCGCTGGGTATAACTGCAGGTTCTTCCTCTTGCTCCTCAGCTTCCTTTGTCTCTCCATCCGTCCCCTGCTCCTCCTCTTCCTCCTCCGCAGCCTCTGCTTTCTCGTCCACGGCGCCCTTGGCAGCAGCGGCAGCACCAACAGCAACAGATGCAGGGGAGGCAGGAGCGGGAGAAGAGCCAGGGCCCCTCTCATCCCTGGCAGCGAATTTTGCGTCTCTGCTTCTAGCCGGGTCCGGGCCGGGCATCCCTCTTGACCAGAGCCCATCCCCCCATGCGCGCTTCGCCATGCAAGCCAACATCCCCCTCTCTCCCCACCTCGTCTCACCCTCCTCCCGTCTGCCCACACCCGCTATCGCATTCCCCAGTCCGAAGCTAGCTATGAGTCCCAAGGTGGCGCTAGCATCTCTAGTGGGGCATCTGGGGCCTGTCAGCCCTCTCTGCGTCGCCTCCCCCGCTTCTCGCCCCTCTCATTCGCTTCACCCCTCTCCGCCCGCCTCCCCTCTTGAGAAACTCTTTAATTTATCCATGGGCGCAGGCGCTGTGCCTCTCTCCCCAACCCTCAGCCCCAGTGGGTCCCGCCCAAAGACCCTCCTAGGTCTTGTCAATCCCCGGGAGCCTGCCTCCGCCTCCTCCTCTTCATTTTCCTCCTCTCCTCGCTCCTTAGAGGCTGCTAACACAGGGCTGGGGGCCAGTGCAGGGAGAAGCGGCAGTGCAAGGGCAGCAGCTGTGGCAGGGAATGGTGCTGGTGGAGCGGGCGCTTCAGAGGGTGCTAGAGGCTCTGTGCTGAGACCCAGGCAAGAGAGCACGGGGCAGCAGCAGCAGGTGAGGCAGGTGGAGCAGTCAGCAGAGGTGTACCGGCATGAGTGTGTTGGGCTGACGGACCTGGGCCCACTGGGGGGAGGCGGGCAGGATGAGCGGCAGTTCCAGCTCGCCCTGCCCAACTTCAAGCAGAACGGACCCGCCTTCCTCAGACGCGCCCCTCGCACCACCCACACGTTGACCTCCTCGAGTGATCCTGCCATAGCATCTGTTACTGTTTCTTCCTCCTCCTCCTCCTCCTCCTCCTCCTCCTCCTCCTCCTCCTCCTCCTCCTCCTCCTCCTCCTCCTCCTCCTCCTCCTCCTCCTCCTCCTCCTCCTCCTCCTCCTCCTCCTCCTCCTCCTCCTCCTTCTCCTCCTCTAACCCCCTAGGCGTGTCCTCCCCTTCCTCCGGCCCGCTAACCTTCTCCCCGCGGCCCATGCCAGCCGCCCTGCAGCCCCACCGTGAGAGTGCTGCTGAGAAGGCTGGGCCCAGAGGGGGGCAGTGCGAGCAGCAAGTGGGGCTTGGGGAGGGGGAGGGCACGGAGGGGAGCGACGAAGAGGGGGACGTGTCTGAGTGGTGGATGCGCGCGCCCACTCTGGGACCTGGCAACTGGGGTGATGGCGATGATCCCCATGCTGCAGTCTCTGCAGGTGTGGCGGGCGCAGGAGAAGGGGGAGGCAGCAGTGGCAAGCTGGAGAAGTTAGCTGAGGAGGAGAGGGACGAGGTGGAAGGGGACCAAGAGGGGCACGGCGTGAAGGTGCGTGAGCAGGAGATGAAAAGAGAGGGGGGTAATGGAGGTGGCGCGGGGGGCAAGGTGGAGGTAGATGTGGAGCGCATGATGGGCATGCTGCAGCAGCTGCAGACGCCTCTCGCGGATGTGCGCGCCGCACTTGAGGGTGGAGGGCGAGGCGCGGAGGAGTTTGAGGCTGCTGCACGGGCGCTGGAGGCGGACTTGAGACGGTTCCTGGAAGCCAGGAGGCACACGAAGGATGAGGCAGGGGGTGAAGGGAAAGGGGTGGGGGGGACTAAGGGAAGCTCTGGCGCTGGTACGGGGGAGGCTGAACGGGCGGGCGGAGGGGGAGGGGGAAGAGGAGGGGGAGGGGGAAGAGGAGGGGGAGGGGGTGATGGGATGGGGCTAGAGGGAGAGGCGGTGGTGGTGGAGTTGTCGGGGCAAGGTGATTCGAGCAGGAGTAGCGATGCCATCACTTGTGCAGAAACAGCTAGGAAGGGCGGAGCAGAAGGAGGTGAAGGGAGAGAGGGTACTGATGTGGGAGGAGGTGCGGAGAAGGAGGGTTCTGGAACCATCACAAATAAGTTATGTGCTGCTGAGTCAAAACGCGAGTCTGCTGTGAGAGGCAAGCAGGGAGGCAAGCAGGGGAGGCATGGGAAGGAGGTGGGGCAGGGGGCGGATGTAGCATCCGGTGCACCCGCACCCCCAGGTACAGACTCAGGTGTGTCTCCAGCAGCGCTACAGGCGGCTCTCACGCGGGAGCTTCATGCACAGACCAAGGGGGGGTCAGCCGTAGCAGAGGTAAGTGCAGCAGATGCAGCAGGTCAGGCAGGGAATGGCAGGGCAGGCGAGGGCAGAGGTGGGAAGAGAGGGGAAGCAGTGGAGGTGCCAGTGGTGGGGGGGAAGGTGGTGCTGAGTGGCAAGATCAGGGTGGGGCAGGAGATTCAGTTCTCTGGCACGTGGTCGCCTCTGGGCCTGCCCCACTCTGCCTCGCAATCCTCTGCAGCGGAATCCGCCTCCCCAGGTGTGGAGGACAGTAGACTGGGCGCTCCTGCTGCAGCTGAGGGGGTTGCTGGGCTATCGACTGCTGGGGGGGATCGACAGCAGCAGCAGCAGCAGCAGCAGCAGCAGCAGCGTCGGCGGCACAGGGAGAGGTCGCTACGCAAGCAGGATAGAAGTAAGTCAGGGGTGGTGGGTGGGGGCGGGGGAATGGAGCGCAGGGCAAGGGGCAGAGAGCAGGAGGAGGACTTGCAGGAGGAGAGCTTGAGTGAGGCAGAGGTGGAGAGGGATAGGCGGCGGCGCAGTGGGCGCATGGTGAGTAGTATCAGCGTGGGGGGCATGGGCATGAGCATGGGCATTGGCATGAGCAGGAGCCACGAAGGCACTGTCGGGAGCAGCACAGGGAGTGCGGGGAGCGGGCGTAGTAAGAGGAAGAAGGACCGGTCGGGAGCGGTTGAGGCCGGTGGGGTGGAGTGGGCGAAGGTGGATGCCAGGGACAGTGGAGGAGATGCGAGCAGGGAGGGTGGTAAGGATGCTGGTAGGGATGGGTTGAAGGAGAGTGGCAGGCGTAAGAAGGGCAGTGGGAAAGGTGCAGGCGCAGATGGTGGGTCTGGGAAAGGCAAGGGTGTGTTTGGGGATGAACATGGTGGTGGCAAGGCGGGGAGGCACGTGGGTGCAGAAGGGGAAGTGGCACGGGTTCTGGGGGGAAGGGAGGGGAAGGAAGTGCGTGGTAGCAGGGACGGGCGGGAGAAGGAGGGGAAGGGAGGGAGTGAGGGGAAACAATCAGAGAGTGTGTTAGGCGGGAGGACGGCGGGGGGGAAGGCAGCGGATGAGGGCGAGGAAGATGAGGAAGACGTGTTTTATGATGCACGTGAGGTGGTGAGCTCGCCTGCTTCAGAGGACGACAGAGGCAGCGAGCGGTCTCTCAGGCACATCATGACCAAGGCGGCATCTCCTGGCACGCTTCCTGGTGCTACTGCTGCTGCTGCTGCTGCAGTGGGGGTTGGGGTAGCGGATGTGGAAGAAAAAGGGGCTGCAAAGCACGGGAAGGAGGGGAAGAGTGTCTCTGGCGTTGCGAGGACGCGGTCGGGTGTGAAGGCAAGGCTTGGGAGCGGCGACAGCAGCAAGGGACGGAGAAAGGAGCAGAAGGGCGCGGAGGAGAGGGGAGCGAGGGACGAGCTGAAGAGAGGTGGTAGTGGCGTGGGAGCAGCAGGCGGAGGGGAGAGTGGGGCAGTAGAGGGTGACGCGAGGGGTGGTAGTGAAGCTAGTGGTGGTGGCCGCTTGGAGGGTGCAGGGAAGAGCGGGCAGCACTCAGGTAAGGCAGCAGGGAAGCGCAGTTCCGGGGAGAGCGCAGGTGGAGGGAGAAAAGACGAGAAGGAGGCGGAAGCAGGGCACGAGCGACGCAAGCACAAGGGGAAAGGGAGCAAGAAAGGATCAGAGGCGGTGTCGACAGGAAAGGCTGAGAAACCAGGCGGCTCCACTGTATCGTCACCCGCTCCGTCCTCCACATGTGGTGCCTCTAAATCCCGCCCAGCCACGAGCAGTGGCAGCAGCAACCCATCCTCACAGCCTGTGTCATCAGGTGCCCAGGGGCCTCCCCTGGCAGCAGCATCCATCCGGCGCACTGTGTCTGACCTCACAGAGGAGATCAGCGCCCTCAAGGCCGCCACTCTCCTCATCACCACGCCTGCTGCTGCTGCTGCCGCTGCGGCTGCTGCGGCTGCAGCAGCTGCCAGTGGCGCCTCTGATTCAGGCACTGTGAGTAGCAGCGGGGAGAGCGATGCATTCAGTGGGGTTGTTGGAGCAGAAGTGCAGGGGGCGCAGCTATCGCAACTGTTCACTCCAGCATGCAGCACAGCAGCGGCTCGCAAGGCCCAGCGCACAGCCGCTGCCATCTCTGCTCTGCGCGAGGCAGCGGCACGGGAAGGTCCTCTGCCTGCTCTCGTCTGCGCTCCCCCCACACTGCCCTGTGGGGACGCGCCAACGCGGGAAGAGGCATGGAGACGGCTCGGCAGCAGCAGGTGGAAGGGGCAGGACGACGACTCAGGTCTAGGCACAGACATCGCTGCTGCGGCTTTAGGTAGAGATGCAGCGAGTTTCCGGCTGTCATCTCCCACTCCCCTGGTGTCCCGTGCTGTGCCAGGCTTTGTGGCGCTGGACATGCCTCCTGCTGCGGGTCCCTTCTCGTCCGCACCGCACAGCGCCACGGCCATCTGGCACATGCTGCAGCTTAACGCCGCACCGCTGCTCTCAGGCCCGCCCACTGCGCTCATCTCGCAGTCCTGCTCGCTCTCCCCTCTGCACTCATCTGGGCTGGGGTTGGCCGGTGAGCCACGGTGGGGGTCAGGCACGTTGAGGAGCAGTGTGGATGCGCTGCTGCAGCTGGGGCAGGAGCACGGCGACTTGGAATGGGCACCCGGCAGCACTGCTGTCTCTGGGGGAAGCGGTGCCGCGGAAGGGACTGGTAGTGGTGCCGCCGCTGCTGCTGCTGCCGCTGCAGCTGCGGTTGCAGCGTCTCAGCTGAGCCCTTCAGTACGCAGCCCTCAGGGGGGTGCAGGGGCCGTGGGGCCGTGGAGGAGGCTGGCAGTGCCGATTCACCAGCTGCCGGGGGACAAGGAGGATTACGAGGAGGGGCAGGTGTGCCCGCTGTCGCGCTCCAACAGTGCCAATGTGGAGGCGCTACTGGCTGATGCTCACACTGCTGCTGCCACTGCTGCTGCTCTCTCTGCTGCTGCTGCCGGTTTGCTGGGTGACATGGGGACCAATGGAGGCTCGCCGCTGAAGCCGAGCAGGAAGGCTGGAGTAGGGGTGGAAGGCGAGAGGGGCATGGAGGAGGGTATGGATGCAGGTGGTGGTGGGAGAAAGGCCAGGGGAGGGGTCAAAGGGAAGCGCAAGGAGATGGCTATAGCGGAGGAGGAGAGCGGTGCAGAGGAGAGCATGCAGGCAGATGCAGCAAGTAGCGACAGCAGTGTGGTGTTTGCAGCACCTGCTGCATCAAGCCCTGCACGCAGCAGCAGCTCCAGCAGGCTGCGTTCCATGAAGACCGCCCCTGCCGGCGCCCTGGCGTCCCTTGCAAGCTTCTTCTCCTCCATGGCTAAGCACTCCCGCAGCGGCAGCACAGGCGAGGAAGATGCCCCTGCTGCTGACAGTGGCGGCGCTGGCAGTGTTGACAACAATGGGAGCAGTGGGAGCAGTAGGGTGTCACGAGAAGGTGGTGGGGCAGCAGGGAGTGGTGGAAGTGCAGCAGAGGCTGCTGTTAGAGCCACACACCCCCATGCACACTCACCTGCTGCTCAAGGCGCCATGCCTGTTCCTCTTGCTGCTGCTCATGCCCATTCCGCCCCCAATGCCGCTGCTGCATTTTCTGCAATGTCTTCTCCTGGCAAGACCCCTCTTTCCCCACAGCAACAGCCTGCACCCGCATCAGGGGCAGCAGGGCTTGCATCTGGCCTTGCTGCTGCCTCTGCCGCGGTAGGCGCAACTGGGGGAGGCTCGTATGGGGCCAGGCATGTTTTGGAAGGGACACGTGCAGGAGACAGCAGCCCAGGCATTCACGACCCCTCCAGCATCACTGCTGGTAGTCCCAGCATCTCTCTCTCCCGTGGCCTCTCTCCTCTCTCCCGTCCTGCCTCCTACGCCTCTGCAGTTTCAAGCTCGTCCGGTGCAACCACAGCAGCAGGTGCAGGGGCGGTTGGGGATACAGGGTTGGGTTCTAGAGGTGTTGCAGCAGCAGCAGCAGCAGCGGTGGCAGCACAGGCAGCAGGGGCGCAGCCGCCAGCAGCGGCGGGGATAGGCTCAGATGCAACGGAGGAGGAGTGGCGAGATGCAGGCAGCGGCAGCAGCAGCAGCAGCCCTGTGCGGTCAGTGCGGTCGTGCCAGTCGACGGGGAGTGAGGTGCAGGTGCAGCAGATCGTGCACCACCACCACCATCACCACCACCACCACCACGGCTTCCACCCCTTCCGCCGCAAGAAGGGGCGCAAGCATGCAGCCGTTGAGACGGTGGTGCAGACCACAACAGTGGAGGAGATGGGGGGGGACGGGAGCATGGGGGCCATGTCAGCTTCCCCATCGAGCAGCAGCTTCATGAGTGCAAGCAGCTTCAAGAGCCAGAGCAGTGTGGCGCAGCTCATTCCCCACCAGTGCACCAACAGCAGTGGCGGCAGCAGCACGCGCGGCGCCTCGCCTGGCAGCAGCCGGGCGAGCACTGCTGCCTCTACGGGTGGGGCTAATGGTGCTGGTGGTGCGAGGGGCAGCACGGGCGGCAGCAGCAACGGTGGGGTGTCGTCGCGGTCTGCGTTTCAGGACTCGGTGGGGGCAGCGCTGAGTGGTGGCGAGTCGGAGGCAGACAGTGACATGGATGTTATTGATGAGCAGGTGGGCGCACGTGTACTCACAGGTACGAGGGGCAGCAGGTGGCATACTGTACCGTACCGTACCATTGCGTACGGTATTGTACCGTACCGTACCATAGCAGCTGCACCATGCCATACCCATGGTGTTATCTCTGGCAAACACGCCCTTGCCAGCCCCTATATTCCCAATTTCATTCCTTGTTTTTCACTGCTCTCCGTACATCACTTTCTCCTTCATCTCTCCGCTCCCCACACACCCATCTCCACATCCCCCACAGGCACTTCTGGCAGCAGCCAAGCGCACAGCAGGCATCACTTGCTGTGTGCGGCCTCGGGTCTTTGATTGACGGGGGCGTGCAATATGATAGAATTAGCAGTATATGTTGAGTATTGTAGTTTATGGACTTCAGGACAAAACTACCGTATTTATCATTCTTTAGGGTCACGACTGTTTCTCGTGACTGAAACGCTGTTACGGGTGCAATGAATCGAAGTAGCGAGAATTGCACTAAGGCGTCAAACGAGTACAAAATGTGAGCGAAGGCATGAGCGAACATTTATACGCGAAACATGCAAACGGTAATGTGCTGCGTGCGAGCTAGCTAGTGCTCTACTGGAAGCGAGGCTCAGGCTAGTCCCGAAGCGTAGGCCGACACGGCCAGGCCAACAGTGCGAGGTTTGGTGAAACAGTGCGCGCGAAGCCGGCGAAGCCCCGTTAGCAGCAACGGGCGAACAACGGCTGATGTTGTACGCGATGTTGCCGGACGCGCTAAGGAATATCGAGAAAAATCCTTACACTGGCCCCCAGGGCTCAGGTTTGCAGTGTAATTTACCCTTCTATACTGATAAGAAGGGTGAAATTTTCAGTCTACACTGATGGGCTGGGGTAATTTTTTGGGGGATTAGTCTTACACTGATATGTAAGTGTAATGATTTAGGCTACACTGATGCTCTGGGGTAAAATTTCCCTTAGCGAAGATTACCCTGAAGAGCGTACAGGGAACCACCCTCCCCCCCTTCCCCCCTTCGGAAAGTCTATCTATTGAGATTAAGGTTCTCCAAAATATCATAACGGTACACCCAATTTTGTAATGATGCACTACGACGGCAGCACGTGAGTACTGATGACCGACACCGCGTCACTCTGTGTCTGCTTGCAACCTACCCAAAGCAAAAACTGCAACCTGATTGGCCGAAGATGCACTCACTGCAACTCCCTCGACTCCGAAATTTGGGACTCGATCGAGGTCCCCAAACACATGTTCCCCCCGGGAAGCTTGCTGACTCGGCGAAAAAAAACAAGTGTTGCAGTGGAACCAGACAAGCCACTGCGCTCGACTTTCACAACAACCCCCACCCACCAGTGCCCACCTTGCGCAGGATTAGTAATCTTGCGCATTGAGAAAGCTTGCTTTCTGTTCTTGCAAAGGCAACGGGCTTCATTACAATTGCAGTAATACAACATTCTCGTCCAACTATTATGATATACAATATACGACTAGGGTGGGTGGGTGGGGAGTGGAACTGCAAAGTTCCGAAATGAAGTCGTGGGTGGAGGCCGAATGGCCTCCAACCCTCGTTATATACTCGGCGAATTGTAATTCGCCGTTGCTTTGCTTCGTTACAGGTAGCTGCGCTTTCACAATACGCATTTTTAGAAAGTGTTACACACTTTCGAAAAATTTCATATTGAGAAAGCTTGCTTTCTGTTCTTGCAAAGGCAACGGGCTTCATTACAATTGGGTCTTCTGAGACATGTGCGGTTGGGGCGTTGTAGACGCGGTGGGTGTGGTTGCGGTTGATGGTCGTCACGAAGTGACAAGAGAGGCGGTGTTGGCGATCGCGATTTCCAAGTCGATGACGTTTGGAATGCTGTGTGTGTGAAGGTTGCTCGATGGGTTGATGTGGATGTCTCTGTTTGTTGGTGCAAGAGGATACCGTAGTGGTACACAAATTTTGTCTTTAACTCCCAAAGGTCTATCCAAGTTCTTAACGAGTGGCGAGCTTGTGATTGCATGCAAGTCGTTTCACACGAATGGTTGTATTTCCTTGTTGGGTGCGATCAAACACAGTGGGATGTGTGCATGATGGCGAACACCGATCTCCTGCAGCATTGCTCTTATTTGGGGAAAACATTGAGTGCGGTGTATACCGGTAAGAGTGTGTGTGCACCACCGTAGTCAAGACAGATTCAGAATTCATATTGAGTTGCACTCTACCAACTGTTTGTAACAAGATCACTTAAAAGCAGTTGCTTCCTTGGAAGTTGGTGGGGCTCCAAACCAGCCTTTTTTTTTTTTTTTTTTTTTTTTAATAATTATTACCGTATACGATACATCAATAGCCAAGAATGATCCATCCATCCACTCAAATTTCAGCCCATCTTACGGTAAGGCCAGCATGGAGGCCTTCGGGTCCCTTCCCCCACTGGGACGGCTTTAAAGCCACACGAGGACCCTCGGTCCCCTTCCTCCCCTGGGGGACGGCTCTCAGGCCACACGAGGACCCTCGGTCCCCTTCCCCCTCTGGGGGACGGCTCTCAGGCCACACGAGGACCCTCGGTCCCCTTCCCCCCCTGGGGGACGGCTCTCAGGCCACACGGGGACCCTCGGTCCCCTTCCCCCCCTGGGGGACGGCTCTCAGGCCACACGGGGACCCTCGGTCCCCTTCCCCCCCTGGGGGACGGCTCTCAGGCCACACGGGGACCCTCGGTCCCCTTCCCCCCCTGGGGGACGGCTCTCAGGCCACACAGGGACCCTCGGTCCCCTTCCCCCCCTGGGGGACGGCTCTCAGGCCACACAGGGACCCTCGGTCCCCTTCCCCCCCTGGGGGACGGCTCTCAGGCCACACGGGGACCCTCGATTTCATCTTTCCGTTCAAGGGCCTCCTCAGGTGTGCGTGTAGTTGATCGTGTCGTCGGTGCGATTTCCCAGCGCGACGAGCAGGGTCCCACTTCTTATAAACTTATTTCCCCAATCGTGGCGTTGAGCTCGTGTTTCTGCCATGAAGGGATTCACGGGGCATAGAGATTAATCGAGAGAAAACGCAGGTGACATGTTGAAAAACAATAATAATTAAAAAAAAAAGGAAATGAAATGCACTTGCAGCACTTATATGCAACTTATGTGCACTGGCGCCAGTGGCGATTTCGTCCTTGGCGCGCGCCACTGGCGCCAGTGGCGATTTCGTCCTTGGCGCGCGCCACTGGCGCCAGTGGCGTTTTCGTCCTTGACGCGCGCCACTGGCGCCAGTGGCGATTTCGTCCTTGGCGCGCGCCACTGGCGCCAGTGGCGATTTCGTCCTTGGCGCGCGCCACTGGCGCCAGTGGCGATTTCGTCCTTGGCGCGCGCCACTGGCGCCAGTGGCGATTTCGTCCTTGGCGCGCGCCAATGGCGCTAGTGGCGATTTCGTCCTTGGCGCGCGCCACTGGCGCCAGTGGCGATTTCGTTGCTGGCACGTGCCACTTGCGCGAGTGGCAGAAGCAATTTCGTCCTTGGCGCGCTAGTTGCAGTTTCTCCGGCGCACTTCGATCTCAGTTAGGCGCACGCAAAGTACAGTCGCATGCGTGATTATGTCGCCCTTCTAGGTGCACATGCAAGGGAGTCGGGCATGTGGCAGTTGGTTGATGTTTCCTAGTACTAAAGCACTACTAGTGGGAGGGGAACTTCAGTGGTGGTTGGACGAGAATGAGTGGAACTGCAAAGTTCCGAAATGAAGTCGTGGGTGGAGGCCGAATGGCCTCCAACCCTCGTTATATACTCGGCGAATTGTAATTCGCCGTTGCTTTGCTTCGTTACAGGTAGCTGCGCTTTCACAATACACATTTTTAGAAAGTGTTACACACTTTCGAAAAAATTCATAATTTGGGCCTCAAGCTTGGTTGCTGCTAGCACCTACAGTATAATCAGGGTAAAAAATATACCTATACTGATGCCTCTGTGTAAAGTTTTCAAAACTTCAAGTTACACTGATCCATCAGTGTTACCAAAAAAGACACACTGCTCAAAAGGGTTTTGAAAATGTCTACACTGCTAATCGTGAGTAGGTAAAAACCAAACCTGAGCCCTGCTGCCCCCCCCCTCAAGAAGCCCCCTCCGCTACGCGAGTGCGTGTACATCGCGGAAACCCCGGCTCCTCAGGTACACTTGCAGGGCGGGGTGATTTTCGATGTTGGCCAGGGGCACCCAACTATCTTCAGTTGGCGTGCGATCCTTCCAGCGAACGAGGAACTCAATCCTCCTGATTTCCGTGGGGTGTCGAATCCGATGGCTCAGGATTTTTTCGGGTTCGATGATCGGCTCCGATGCAGGGCGAGCCATGGATGGCGGGCGGTGACGAGGCAGTTGGCTTGTGGTTGGGATGTATCGTATGGCCCCGGATATAGGCGCCGGCCTATTACAGGCACCGGCGCTTCTATCTGGAGCATGGCGCTTATGGCCGATCCTCAATTATAAGCGCCCCCCCCTGGAAAACCATTACCACTTATTATAAGCGCCGTGTGCAATTTTCATTTAAATATCAGTTTAAATCGATAATGAATTTCAGTTTTGCAGCGAGTCAAATTTCATTTTCGCTTTGTTTGACTAGCGAAGACCTGACTGTCTGCGCGTCCAGTCAGGATGTGCTGGCATGCCTGCAAAGTGACGCGAATTTGCCCGTGTACAGGAAGGAGAATCGCTTGCGCGCGATTCTGCTTTGTGACGCTATAATAGTTCGACTCGTTTGAAATGGCTACAACGAAAGGTACAGTTTGGTACCTTTAAAGATAAAAATTGTATTTGTCATTATATAAGCGCCGGCGCTTATGGCCGTTCCTCAATTACAAGCGCCACCCTTGAAAAAAATAACTTATTATAAGTGCATATGCGCTTTTATCCGGGGCCATACGGTATGGGCGAAGCAGGCTGACGTAGAACGAAGGGCCGATGTACCAGTCCGTTGGTAGCAGTATGTGAGCTGTCACTTGGGTAATCATGTGGCTGATTTGGAACGGTCCACAGTATCGCGGTCATAATTTCGGTACGACGGGCAGTCTTAAGCTCTGTGTGTCGAGCAGTACGCAGTCTCCCGACTGGTACGTGACTGGGCGGCGGTGGCGGTCAGCGTTGCGCTTAGCGATGACATTGGCTTTTTTAATTGCTTCAGCGGCTCTGGTGCGAGCAGCTTGCAGAATTTCGGCGAATTACTGTGCACGTGTGTCAGAATATTATCTTATGTTCTAGCCTGTAGTGGGGTGCTCTATAGCGAGTACAACCCTTCTAGGGTTTGCTATTTGTATCCCCATTTCTGCTAGTTCAACCCTCCATCTTTCTTCCTTCTAATTTTGTCATGCTATCAGAGCAGGTCG